TTCAACCAGTTTTGTTTCAGTTTATTCTTTATTCTCTTTTACGTTATTAACGTCATTGTTATCATAATCATTACATCTTCTTCTTGTTCTTCTAGATCACCACGTCAAACAAAATCATTAACGTCATAGTCACCATCTTCTTCATCATCTTCCTCATTTGTTATAAACCAAGCCAAACACCATTATATCGTCAGCAACATTATCATCATCATCATTATCACCAATATCCTCATCATGATCATAATAGTCTTTATTCTTTTAATCATCAAATCCAATATAATCAATATTAACACCATTACCAATCTTTTCCGTTCTTCTCCTTCTTTATCATTGTGTCTAACATAATCATCGCCATTAATCACCAAGAGACTAAGAAATTAATACAATCTAGTTCTCAGGAAAGGCAGCAGCTACACACACACACATCACATTTTCACCTCAAGACTAGCTTCATCGCCGTCTCTACAGAGGCACTGTGTTTTACTCAGACTAAGGACAGGGCACAACAGATTTCCTCAACATATGTTAAAATATTTCGGCGGAGGCGACACGGAAACGTGTCCCTTCATTTGGCACCAGAAATGCTGAGCATATGCTCCAACATTGTCAACTGTATTCTGCCATAAGAGATGCAATCTAGCCTGTTTCAACTACAATGAAGAAACACTATATGATAAAGGAGGAGATATGGACTGCACGATAGCTTTCATAAAGGCAACCAGTTTCCTGATATACATTTTCTGGCAGAAAGATCGAAGAAGAAGAAGATCATACTTTTTCTATTATCTCCATCATCTGCCGCTTGTTCCCTCGTTCAACCATACAACACAGTTCTAGTGTGGCACCAATGCCAAATGGCACCAATATTGAATCTTATAGGTAGACAACAAATCAAATGGTTTGGCCATGTAACAAGATGGCATCAGACAGGGCACCACAGACAGCAATGTTATACAGATACAGCGGTAACAGATCCAGCGGTAGACCACACAGAAAATGCACCACAGAAATATCAGACAATGAAAAGTACTTTATACAAAGAAAATAGAAGGGCCTGTTCCAAAGATCACTTCCTGTCCTGACAGCGCGAGGTATTCCAGGAGTAGAGAAAAGAAGAAGATAGTGTTAGTTAGTTAGTTAGTTAGTTATTCCTCTTGTGCCAAAGATGGCGCATAGGGCAGAGGTCATAGCTTTCCACGTCTGTCGGTTCGTTGCCACTTGATGTAGGTCTTGAGTGCGACTGAGACCTATGGTTGAGCTCTCCCTTGTGATGGTTCTACGGAGAGTTTCTTTTGGTCTTCCCTGTTTTCTTTTACCCTCTGGTGAAGATAGTGTGGCACCACAAAACGGTTAGGAAGGAAGTAAGATGTAGTTCTGTGGGGGTTGGTCTGGCATACTTCTTCTTTCCCCCTCTACAGAACCTTGTAGTATTGTGTTCGAGATAGCCATGTTTGTTTTACAAATAATTAAAATTGAACCACAGCTGTTATAATATTAATAATCTTTTCCTTCTTTACGTCATCTTTTACCGCTTCGGGTATTGAGGAGATATAAGGTCCTGCTTCGTGCTCTTCTGGGTTGTTTCGACCATAGACACATCGTGGTGCTGTATAGTTTGTCTGATGTTATTTATCTTCCTTTCTTGATCTTGGTCTACCTCTTGCTCTACGTCCCTCTCCTCTTTTGGTATAAGCCTTGTATGGTACTGCTTCAGAAGGCATTCTCTCCAAGTGGGAAAACAATTTGATTTGCTGTCGTTGTATGTAATTTAGAATTGGTTCTGTGCCGACTTTAACTCATATGACCTCATTCCTGACTTTTATCTCTTCTGGTCTTTTCTACAGTCTTTCCCAGACACCTCATTTCCATGGTTACTAATATAATAATAATACAGTACTAAAAAGGAAAGTAAAAACACATAAAATTAGCAACAAATGTTCTCCAAGTGTCAACAGGGTGGGATAACTCAAAGGTGAAACACATTTGCAACAAAGTTCGCTAATCCATAATGTTCTCTAAAAGTTTCGTGTCTTATCTGTTAGTTACCGATGCATCCAGTTGCCTTGTCTCCTGCCTGGGTCTGGTAGGATTTGGGTGGGCAGCAAGAGCAGCTAATGGCGTAATGAAGGATCTTGTTGGCGTTGGACAGACTACTGTAAGCATAACCCGAGCCCAGGGCCAGACTGGGCATCAACGGGGGGTAGGGTATTGCCAAGGAGGTTGTCAAACCGCCGACTCTAGAGCCCGGCGAAGAGCTGTAAGTGTATCTGATGGAATTGAGGTGAGCGGTCGGTGGAGAGTTGATTGGAGAAAATGCTGACTTAAAAGTCGGGGGTCCTAACGTGGAAGCTAGGTATGCCTGGGGAAGGAAGCCAGACGCGGGGAGTCCGGCATGCAAGGCGCCCAAGGTGGAGCCAATGCCAGCGTTTGTTAATGGAAACGACATGGAAGAACTACTGTTTCCGGTGGGAAACCCGTTGCTACGGACACCACTGCTGCTATGGTTGTTAAGAATCTGTTCAATGGCCTGGACTAGATCGTTGTTGGAGCTTTGAAGAACCACCTGCAGGATGTTGCGTTTCATGTGAGGAAAGACCCGACACAGCATGTCCAGCGGCGCCTTGTTGCTGCTACAGGCAGCGGATGCGAGCAGGCTGTCTTCCAGTAACAACGCCTTGCTAAAACTGTCCTGACTAGAAGCGGTACCGCGAGGAGAGAGCTGTGGTTCCGCTGGCGATGATGATGCTGATGTGGAGGGAGTTGTGGAGCTGTCTCGGAGTTTGTTGGAGTATGCCTCCCCAGCAGACGTTGGCAACCACACTGGCGGTGACTCGTGACCTCTGCCTGACCAGGATCTTGGGGAATCGACGACGTGCAGTGGAGAAGAAGGCGGGGATATGTATTCATCGGAAACTACGTCTCTTCGGCTCTTTTTGGCGGCTGCAAAAAACGAAATAATGAACGTGTTAGATGTAAAATAGCAACTGTAAGTATGCAAAATATCATAAGTAAATGCAGAAATAATTCATTCGCTACATTAATTAAAACAAAATGTCAATGAGAAATAACGAACATGTTAAAGTTAGTTACGTATCCTTTACAGGACGTTGCAGAACCAACCCCAGCATTGCTTGTCTGTTGTGGTTTTTCTAGGCAAATTTTACCTTCAATAGTTTGCCATCGCTTACTAAACGGTCAGCTCTCGGTACTAACGCAAAACGTCAAAGCAATGCAATGCAAGTCGTCCGCAGCTGGGATCGAACCCGGCACCCCCCACAATAGGAAGTGTGTTCACAACACCTTAGCCACAGACGCCGACAACGAACATGTTAGGCGTAAAAAAAAAGTAAGTATGTAAAATGGCAAACAATTAGGAGAAAAGAAATAATTTGTTAGATTAGATGTTAAATAACAGCGGTCAAAGAGAAATAACAAATGCTTTAGATTACATGTGAAGTGGAAAGTTGGACAGATTTTCCCGTCACTTGTTACAGCTGCGCATCGCGCTCTGAGGCAATGTTCTTCAACTTGTTATGGTCGACTAGTGGCTAGTGGAATAGTCCAGTACGGCTGTAACCAAATTTTTCTCTATCGTAACGCTGCGTTTTTTAACCTGTCTGTCGCGACCCTCTTTTTTGGGGGGATCGAACGACCCTTTCACAAAGGTCGCCTAAGACCATCGGAAAACACATGCTGATTGAAGTTATGAAGGAAAATATTTGTGTGTGGGTGGTCATAACATGAGGGAACTGTATTAAAGGGTCGCGGCATCAGAACGCTTGAGAGCTACTGGTGAAACGTGTTAGGGCAGGCAGTTTTTCTTTTCCACGGTCGTTAGCATTGTTTTGGATATTTTCTCTCAGTCAGACTGGTGTGCTGATACAAGACCAGGCAGATAGACTGACCGGTTCGATGCCACTTGGTCGTGAATTAATGTATGACAAACTAGATGTTGCGAGGGCCCTATAGCAGCGAGTGAGCAGGACGGAGGTAAAAACAGATCATTAGTCTCAAGAGAATGGCGCTGCGAGGAGTTATCAGGGGATCTCTCCAACTCTCAAGGGAAAGGCGAGACAGATATCAAGAGTTACTGGTATGATCAGAACTGGAATTCTTTGTTTACTGCTGAAAATGGGGACAGAGCGCTTACGAGAGTGTCCCAAGCGCTGTGATTTCGATTCCTAATTCAACGTTTTCTTCCAGGATTGTACTTTATAGGATGAACACCTCAAAGATGAAAATCAACAAATGTTGCATCTGCTAAAAATTGTCATTCTGTGACATCGGATTTAACAAATAAACTGCTATATAGATTTGTTTTTCGTATCCGTGTTTGGTAAGCTGTCAGACGTGTGGCGAAACAATTTCTAGTGTTTCGGTGGGCCGTGGGAGGCAAAAGTTTGAGGAACCCTGCTCTACAGGTCGGGCTTCGTTTCCTAGATGCTTCATGATTGCAGTCTTTAGGGAGACATGAAATGGCAACTAGTATTGTTTAGACATTTATATTATTTGCATGTAAATTTAAGCAGAAGTGAAAACCGTGGATTGATTACAAGAAACAAACATAAGATGAGAACACTGGATATATTGTATCCACCATTCAGTGCTCCTTGGATGAAGGGGTCAACACCACGTCTAGTCGCCTTGACTTCCCAGAATATTTCTTGCACCCATTTTATGCTGGATCGACCAGGACCCACGACCCTGGAGTCCCACAGGCAAGCGTATAACCACTAGTCTCATCATCACCATCATCGTGCGCCGTACCGATAGCCATCTCACACGATCACCAGAATCACGGATCAGGGTAAGGTTCTTGTTTCGCCCATCTATCTAGCCGAACCATCTAGGTATTTTTTTTTATCTCTTTGCCTTCACCTTGCTCTGTTTCCATCAATCTTACCAGATGTTACCAAGTTCTGAAGACCATCCCTTCTCATAACATGTTTAAAAAAAATACTGACTCTCTAACCGTTCTAATAAATTTACGACTTTCATCTGTCTCGATTAGGACTGCCTCGTTTGTTTTTCTATCCCTCCTCGATATTCTTTTCATTTTTCTCAAAAACGACATCTCCACCGCTACCACAACTCCAAAGTAGAAATTAATTATTCGTGTCAACAGCGTTTCATCCGACAAAATCTCTTTTGCCTGGAGCCGAATATGGAAAGTTCCAGGAAAGTGGGCGATTTACACCCGATGATTTGACAGTCGGGTTAGCCGACAGATCCGCTTGGACCCGCCACAAGATATTATTGTTTTACTGAATTTGTCCGGATCTCTGGCCCGTGAACAAAACCCGTATAATTGTTTTTAATATCAGTTTTTTTTTGGGGGGGGGGGGGGGGGGGGGGGGGGGTAAATGTTGGTTGTTGTGTGGGTGGGGGAGGCGAAGGGGGTACCAAGCGTTTTCTTCGATATCGGGGACGCAGTTTCTTCTCCTCCTCCCTTCGTGTTCATCCTCTTCTTCTTCTTCCCCTCCTCCCTTCGCTTTCATCCTCTTCTTCTTCTCCTCCTCCCTTCGCTTTCATCCTCTTCTTCTTCCCCTCCTCCCTTTGCTTTCATCCTCTTCTTCTTCCCCTCCTCCCTTCGCTTTCATCCTATTCTTCTTCCCCTCCTCTCTTCGCTTTCATCCTCTTCCTCCTTCTCCTCCTCCTTCCTTCGCTTTCGCCCTCTTCTTCTTCCCCTCCTCCCTTCGCTTTCATCCTCTTCCTCCTTCTCCTCCTCCTTCGCGTTCACCGGCAAGAAGTTCTGGGTGTTCCTCCACCATATTCTTGCTCCAGAACTCGAGATTTGCGTGCACATCCGTTTCACAGATCTGACTCTCCTTGGAGTCGCCTAGTAGAGAGATACACTCTGACTTCGACGGAACCAACCCCAACTAGTTGACTCTTACGACATACTTGTTATGGGGCAGTGGCCTATACTTGCTTTCCGCCACAATTATTTTTTTTAAATATTTCTATTTCACTCAGTAATTCTCTTTTTATTCGCCGTTCTTTCCAGAACCTCTATATTTAATTGCTGTAGTTTCCATGAAGAACGGCCTACTCTTACGTATTTCTACCTTTCTATAGATTCAGTCTGATTTTCTAGATGCTTGTTCGTTGTTTACTTGATCAGTAATATCCCATTATCCAAGTACTTGACCGGCAGTATCCCATTATCCAAGCACTGGACCTGTAGTATCCCATTATCAAGGCACTGGACCTGTAGTATCCCATTATCCAAGCACTGGACCTATAGTATCCCATTATCCAGGCACTGGACCAGTAGTATCCAATTATCCATGCACTGGACCGGCAGTATTTCATTATCCATGCACTGGACCGATAGTATCTCATTATCCAGGCACTGGACCGATAGTATCTCATTATCCAGGCACTGGACCGGCAGTATTTCATTATCCATGCACTGGACCGATAGTATCTCATTATCCAGGCACTGGAACGATAGTATTATATTATCTAGGCACTGGACCTGTAGTATCCCATTATCCAGGCACTGGACCAGTAGTATCCCATTATCCAGGCACTGGACCAGTAGTATCCCATTATCCAGGCACTGGAACGGCAGTATTTCATTATCCATGCACTGGACCGATAGTATCTCATTATCCAGGCACTGGACCGGCAGTATTTCATTATCCATGCACTGGACCGATAGTATCCCATTATCCAGGAACTGGACCGATAGTATCCCATTATCCAGAGACTGGGCCGATAGTATCCCATTATCCAGAGACTGGGCCGATAGTATCCCATTATCCAGAGACTGGGCCGATAGTATCCCATTATCCAGGCACTGGACCGATAGTATCCCATTATCTAGGCACTTGACCGATAGTATCCCATTATCTAGGCACTGGACCGATAGTATCCCATTATCCAAGTAGTGAACAAGTAGTATAACAATATCCACAGGGATGACGGAGACAACATAAATAATAAAGACAACGGAGAAATTCAGACAACAGCCACTCGCACACCTCGAAGACAGCAGAGACAATGTAAACAAAGAAGGCAACATGGACAGTGAAGAACACGCAGAAACGAGAAATAAGAAACTGTAGATGACGCTGGAAACAAAAATAACAAAGACAACGAAGACAACATCAACAACAAGGAACTAAACAAATTAAACGAACTCTCCTTTCCGGCTCCCCCCCCCCCCCCCCCGCCATCCCACTTATCCCCCGACACAACCATAAATCTGTTACTTAAATACGAAAGCTACCCTGACAAATGTATATCTGAAAACGGTTAACTACAGAGCAGGGATTTCAATTTCAAGCCTGAAAGAAGCCAAAGGCGCAACTTTTGCTACAAAAAGACACTTTGACAACCCTTGCCACCGTTTACCCACACTCATCGCCGGCTTTGACAAGACTGCCTAATGCCGCGTCTGTATTGCTAAGACGTGGCGCTGCGCAGATATCGCTCCAAACATAAGAGTGTATTCTTGCCTTGTATACGGGCCGCAATCGACGGTTGGCGAGCGGAACGTTCTGTCCGACAGATAATCTACATTCCTCTCGTTTGATCCCATCCAACCAGGATTTGGGAGTGGCGGCAATCATGCAGCGGATGGAAGCGAAGGGTGTCTGTATTTAAATGTGTACTTAAGCGTGAAGCGCCGGGCGTTAGCTCATCAAGCAGCAAATTAATCATTACACTCGGGCGCTGCGTTAGCGCAGTCGATAAGAGACTCGCTTTCAAATCCAGCTGCAGCCCATGGCCAGTGTTCGAAACCGGGCGGTTTCACGGGTTCACCCAGCCTCTGGGAAATGTGTACCAGGGTTAAAACTCAGAGGTAAATAAAGGAACGTCGCTGTAGCTACGAAGTTTCGTGCGGACGGCGACACAGGCGGACAGTTTCTTATCACTTTTCCGTACTGGTGGCAGAGCACTTATGGTTTATAACCGTGTGCAATGACGCTGGTTCACATCTCCCGACTTTACCTTTACCTTACCGGGATTACTTATCGCCATTTTCATCTCGATTTCCATATGCACATCGCCGCTCTCTTTCCTGTTTCTATTTCCCAAATTCTGTATCTGTCTCTCTCTGTCTCTCTCTGTCTGTCTGTCTCACTTCTCTTGATTTCGCTAATTTCAATCCTATATCTCTGGATTTTTTTTTTCACCACCTCATTTATTTTCTCTTACTGCGCTCCCCCCCCCCCCCCCCCCCCCCAGCCTGAGACCCCTTCTTGTTTTACTTTTCAAGGAAGGCAGTCTGAAGGTTCAAAGTTCACCGGAACTGACACGTTAGCAATGGACTGAAAGGCCCCCTGGGATACCGTGACCTCAGCGACTAAACACCCACTTGATGATGATGATGATGACGCTTACCACAACCTTATAAACAGGAAGACCTTATAATATTATCCAAATCTATGTAAAGCGGTCTGTTACCTAAATCGCCTGCAATAGAATTCCACTCCCTGACATACTGGGGTTGTGAAACTGCGTTCAAACCCATAATCCACAAAGACCGAGATTCTTTCTAAAGGACTGCGTTAGATGGGACACCAGATAATATTGAATATTGTCTGTGCATGATGAGGCAGGAGCACCTGGGCATGGCAACTGGCAGTATAAATACGGTCTCCACAAAGTGTTTCGACTGGGTTACACCTACTGCTGTCTGTCTAGTTGATTATTGTCGCCGGATTAAGATTACATTATACATACAGTGTATGTATATATGTGTATATATATATATATATATATATATATATATATATATATATATATATATATATATATATATATATATATATATATATATATATATATATATATATATATATTAGGTAAGAGTTTCTTCATTTCTTTCATGCATTTCCGTCTTCCTTGCTTTTCTTTCTTTCTTTCTTTCTTTCATGCTTTTCTGTCTGCATTTCTTCATTTCATCCTTTTCTGTCTTCATTTCTATCTTTTTTTCATGCTCTTCTGTCTGCATTTCTTTCTTTCTTGAATTTCTTTCTTTAATGTTTTTTATTTTATTTTTATTTTAGTCTCACTGTTTCGTGTCTGTCGCCTGCCTCTGGAATCGCAATTCTAATTCAAATTTGTGTTTCGCGTGACTAAAACTAAGTTATTCTGGAAAATCCCAGACACGTGATGCCCCCAGCGACTGATCAAATGTCTGTGAACAAACAGGGTTTTCCCAGAAATGCTATACGATTGAGTCATATGACAAGAATGCCAGTATGGACTTCCCTTGGATCGCAATGTAGTTTTATCATCATCATCAATAATTTCTACTTCTACAATTACTAGATGGGCAGCAATGGCTACTACCACTCCGTGTCGGTGTAGAAGCTCTTTAATGTCATCAATCCACGTTGTCCTAGGGCGACCCCTTGGTTTCACATTCGATCTGTTCACGTGTGGCGCCTGTTGTTTATTTCATCACACTAGTTGAACAAGATGGCACATAACGTACACGATCATCTGTTGAAGTGAGAGGCGCATAATCCTTAAACACACACACCGGAGTCGTCAAAGTATATTAGCATAGAACCGCAGCAGCAGGGGGGGGGGGGGATCAAGAGGAGGAGGGGGAGGTGAAGAGGAAAAAGACAAAGAAGAGAAGAAGAAGAAGAAGAAGAAGAAGAAGAAGAAGAAGAAGAAGAAGAAGAAGATAAAGAAGAAGATGAAGAAAAACAAGAACAAAAAAAAAAAAAAAAAAAAAAAAAAAAAAAAAAACAGAAAAAGAAGAACAAGAACAAGAGGAAAAAAGTGAAGATAATGCGAGTTTGTGCCAGATACAAAACAGCACCGCTGTTCCGATCCAGCAGCTTCTTCTGCATGTCTGTCCCCCCCCCCCCCCCCCCCCCCCCAACGGGCTGGTCTTACACTTGCTCTGTGGTTTTGGAAAGCAGACGGAGTGCTGTATGGGCAACATATGGACTCAACTCAACTCCTTCATTTGTATCACCACTGGTTGTGGTTGCCATGCCCCCCATAGCATAAAAAATATACCATCAACAACAACAATAATAACAAATAACAACAACACCAACTGATGCATAACACAAGAGATTAAGATCTGTGGATACGAAAACTCCTATGTCATCTGACAAAGTAGATGATAATGATGATGATGGTATGAACCTAGGTCACATTGAGAGCCATGTAGTCGTAGAAAATAACTTCTGTTGAACGTGGGTCGAACAGACAATCACTGAGAGCAGACAGGCGCAGTGTCTCTCCTCCTCCCTTCCATATCACTCAGTGAATGCAGATCTGAATCAGCAGGGGTTACACTGACAAATGCTGGCACAATATTGCAAACAAAACAACATTTTAAGCGACTTGAGTTCAGCAAGCTTAAATCTATGCTGGGTCAAATGAGATAGCTGTCAAAAAACATCTGCTCCTCGCTGGTTCCAGGCCACTTTCACAGTGAAATGAAAGAAAAGACTACCTAATTAGGAAAAGTTTGGAGGCAACTGAGATGTGGTTCTTGAGAAGAATGTTGCAAATACCTTGGACTGCCAGAATAACTAATCATGATTGCCTTGAAATGGCTAATGAAAGTAGAATATTATACACAACAATCAAAAGGAGACAAAGTTCTTTGGTCATGTGATGAGAAAAGGAGCACTGCAAAATATCGGGACGACTGGAAAGATCACTGGTTGAAGACGCGCAGGCAGACCAAGAGAAATTGTCAATGGCTTAAGACAGTGGCATGGAGGAATATCATCAGTGGAAATGATCCAGAACACAAAAGACCGAGATCTGTGGAAACGCTTGAACGCATAAGCCAGCTGGCTAAGCGCTTGATGATAATGAAAAGAGACTGCCTAGCAAAAACTGGAAGTAATACTAGACAGTCAAATATAGGATCCATTTATGAGGAAAATAAAACCCAGACCAAGGCAGCCGTTTGCACCCATTGGAACCCTTCCTATCTGGAACTCAATCCTGAAAATCAAAAGAAGTTTCTCACACCAACAGAACAGACCATTGCATTTACATTGTAGACTAGATACAAGAGGCGCTGCAGCCAAATGAACCAGTCCATATCTGGGACTGCCAACTCTGCTCTCATGTGGACAGGCACCACAGAATACTGAACATGTGCTGAAGAACATGCGCTGCATCATGCAGCAGACAGATCCCAGATCTGGCCAGCTAGTATTCTGGTGACAACCAAGCCGCACAAGTGGGCGAAAAACATGCGCTTCATCACAGCCTTCATAATGGCCCATGAACGTCTCATTCTAAAAGGACGAAGAAGTACACCAACGTCTCTACGCCACTGAAGTTCATCAACACGTGTAGACATCAAGAAACGATAAAACCAAAACCACTGCCATGAAAGCACACATTCATAAATCAGACTGGGCCTTGCGTGGCTGAAATAATAATTCCATTGACTGTAATAAATGGCGGGTTTAACACAGGAATGAATTGTAAGTAGACTGTAGGAAAAAGGAAACGAACCCTTGAGAATTTTATGGGATGGAAATGTTTACAGTAGACAATTTTAATACCTAGATTAGATGTAGATTTGTAGTGTTTTGTGCCAGGCAAGTAGGGTCAGGGTTGAAGACAGAGGCATTGTTAAAAATGTTATTTTGTGAAGGCAGGTGAAAAACACACACGGCTGAAGCTTTTGTGCATGGCCAAGGAAGATGGATTTGCCTGAAACGAAAACATACTTGTGCATTGAACTTATCCCGCTATTGAACCTCGGATATATAACTGTTTTTGTTTCTCCCTCTGCAGGCGTGTATGATGGAATCCTTGCAGGGAAGATACAGACACGTCTGTAGTCGTATGTAAGGAATGTCATCTAGTTACAAATTCGTTCACATAATATATGATTGATGACTGCAACTTGCAGTTTGGCTTCTAATCTTAGTATTAAAAGCTT